TTTTTAGGGACACGACCGATGGCATGAGAGAGATTCGCCCGAGATTAAGTTCCTTAGCAAATAACTCGTCCAGTTCAGGTTTGAACTCGTCGCAGCTGGTAGCAGTAGTATAATTCACCGCGTCATAGCCAGCAATGCCTGAAACATCCGGCTCTTTCATTAGCTTGAAACCATTTTGCAGACCATCGAGAATAAAATCTTTGTTGGAATCAAGAGAGTTCTCTTTGCCAAGCGTTGAAATTCAGGGGACATTCCTCAGGCGGAGTGAAAATAGAAGCATCGAAGAAGGGCGCAAACGGGGCATAATAAGAGCGAAAACTTCATTTCTTGTTGTTATTGGGATTAGTATCAGTGGGAGTCCCAGTGCAGGTTTTGCTTTTGTGAGAGGACTGTGAACAATGAATGCAAACATGCTTATACCTGCACGTTGAAGGTTGGGGCAACCACCAGGACTAAAGTTCCAGCGAAAGTAAAACTCGTCGGAACCAGATGAACGCCGTTCTGTTCGTGGTGGTGGTGGTGGTGGTGGTGGTGGTGGGGATAAAAATAATAATAACTTTATTTAAATGTTGATGTATTTAGCACTAATGTGCTAATTGGGGACACTGTAAATAAATAAACATATCTTTCAAATATAACATAACCTATAAAGAATCCCAACTGGTGGGAGGCTGACCAGTTGGCTATTTACACAACGCGGCCGAGGAGTTGAACTCGGGGCTACCGAGAACAAATCCAGATAGCGCTAAGGCGGAGGATTTGAACCAGGGACCTCCAGATTTCAAATCCAGCGCCCTAAGCTACTCAGCCACGCCGCCTCCCATAAAATGGTACATGAGATGCTGCTGTATTGTAGATATCTTTGCTAATTTGCCAGTAATTGAAACTTATTGCTTCAGCTTATAACTAAAAAGATTAATAGGCCTTGATAAATATATCCCAAACCAAACTTTAAAAAAAAGAAACAAACAAAAAAAAAAAAGAAATATAAATTTTTCTTAAGGCTTGTTTAGCACACTGTTTGTGAAAGTTAGAAAAATCAGCAAAAGATTAACTGATTCATCGCATTATACATTCATTGTATTATTTCCTACTGCAAAGCAAGCTCTTTGAGAGCAATTCTCCAGGAAAGTTGGAAATGAAAAATTTTAACAAACCTTCAATTTTTGTGTGGAGGTAGGTTACCTTGGGGGATAAACAAAAACAACCATATTTGGATCGGCAGATGTATCGTTGCCATGGTAACTGCACTAGATGAAGTCGGCCTCAGGACCATGTTTTGAGCATAAGTTCCACTCTCAAAAAGTTCAATTAAACGAGTCTGGTTCTCGGGTGCAAGTGAACCAATTCAAATGAAATTCATACAGATGGTAGAGCCACTCTCCCAGTTTATAAAATTCGCCGTGAAAGTATTTTGGGTTTTATAAACAAGAAGAAAATGCTCGTCTTACGATGTTCCCTGTCAGCCATTTTGACAAGCAGGAAAAACAAGCACAACCATATTCGTAATTTCACCGAAAGTACTCTTTCCACATAAACCAAATTAGCAGCAGAGATTACACAGATATTGACGTTTCTAAATATCATAAAATCAATTTGGGGAAAAGTATATTCTGGCCATGGGTGCTGAAGACACCTGGGGCAAATTGCAAAAAATTGCAAAATTGGCAATGTTGAGGGCTCTAGTATTTGGCTCAAACAGGCTTTGGAGAGAGAAAATCAGTTTCAAAAGTATCTTTTATTATCTTGTCTGTTACCTACATTTAGTTAATAGGGTTTTGGCCCACGAATTTGATGAATATAAATTGATACAAAACCTACCTTGAAGGTTTAGGAATTTCTTCAGGATGCTTTCGTCGCGTGGTTCTCTCCAATGTCTCTCCTTCCTTCGCTCCATTTTCTTGACCAAATCTAGCGCTGACTCTAATCTAACAGTTACTCCCATCGAATATCCAGTTTGCCGTGTTTCAGACCAGAGATGATGATACAAGAAGCCCGCATACATTTGACAAAGAATAGTTGAAAGGTCAAAACATGGTCGTAATACTCGCGATTTCTGCCGTCGAGCACCTATATTCATCAATATTATCCAACCAGGAAGTAAAGTAAATGTGTCGAGATCAATGTAAAAAGCAAATGCATGCCTTTGAACAATCCAAAAGTAACTTCTTTGGCTAAAATCGAGTCAGATATTGCGATAGTCGATAAGCCAAGAATGGTGAAATGGTTGAAATGTTTAAGTGCAAAGTCTAACTCGGATTCATACG